CGGACACGCTGATTACAGTGCGGCTTCAAAGTGAAAGTAAAACATGTCGCAGCGCTCCCGTCTGGAAAAGAAACTTAAACACAGCTGTTCTCTCTTCACTCATATTCTGACACAGAGGGTAGAAACAGCTAAATTAGACAGTTAAAATACATGTGCTTCACCCCAAGCTAACCCAGGAATAGAAAATACAGTAAATCTCATGTAATATTATTACTTTAAACTCGTAATAACGACTTTATTCTTGTAAGTTTATATTCTTAAAAATTGTGTAAAACGATATTAGCTGCTGTCAGATATTATATAACTGCCTGGTGTTGCAGTCATGTCAGTTGCAGTGAAGCCACATGGCATTAAAGCCAGTGATTCTGTTGGTTTGWATAAATGTTTTCGCTGCAGAGCATRAATGCGTTGTACCTAACATATATCTGACATTGTTCAGTAAAACCCAGCCACACATTTCACCCTCACTGTTAATGGGAAGGTTGTGTTCAGTTTTCCCTCTGATAACTGGTTGTGTTTRTTCTGTCTCCACAGTTTGGTGTTGCAGTAGTCATAACCAACCAGGTGGTGGCGCAGGTCGACGGGGCAGCCATGTTTTCTGCAGACCCCAAGAAACCAATTGGAGGGAACATTTTGGCTCACGCCTCCACCACACGGTGGGTTTTTCTTCACGTGTTCGCTCTAACGCAGGTCTGAGACTGAACCGTGTCTGTTTTTTGTAGTTTGTACCTGAGGAAGGGTCGAGGAGAAACCAGGATCTGTAAGATCTACGACTCTCCCTGCCTGCCAGAGGCCGAGGCCATGTTTGCCATCAACGCTGATGGTGTTGGAGATGCTAAGGACTGACAGCAGTAACCTGCGTACTCTGAATTTCTGTGTGTGTGTGCACGTRTTTTCACTTTGTCTCCATGAAGACGTTTCAGACAGTCTACATTTCCTGTAAACATCAGATCACATGATCCTTGGAACACAGATACGTTTGTCCACCTTTCTTATTTTCACTTGATGTGTACAAAAAACCTCAAGTTTTCATGTGATTCAAAGTGATTTTGTAAAATAGGCCAACATCTTTTTGTTTTAAGTGACTTCTGTTTGTGTTTGTGTTTGTGTACATAAATCTTGTCGAACGACTTTGTAACAAAGCTGCATCTAAATGTAAAATATTTTCTTCCTGCAGCTCCATCACTGCTCTTTTCTTTGTTTCTGTACAAATGCTTCAGACTAAATTAAATTAGTTTTATGATTTAAAAGGTTTATTTTAGTGTGTGTGTGTGTGTGTGTGTGTGTGTGTGTG